CAGTCTCAAGCAGGTAAGAAGCAGACTCTCAGGGGCGCCTGGGTGGCTCAGTTGGTTGGGTGTCTGCGTTCGGCTCGGGTCATGATCCCAGGGTCCTGGAATCACTCTACCCACAGTGGATGACATCGGAGAATTATGTCTGCGCTGCAGCCTTTCTCCCTGTCTGCCCCTTGGCCTGACTCTCCCCTCTGTTACCATTTAGAGTAAAACTCTATTTCAAGGCCTCCAATCTTGGCTGTTCTTCATATAGGGCAACTTTTGGAATTTCAAATTTTATTTTTCTCTTTTTAGGTCTATTATCTTACTAGGGATTCTGAGTCAGTTTTATGACTTCAAAGGTGAACAATGACTTCATTCTAGGAGTCTCCCTTTAACCAGAGGTCCTTAATTCAGTGAGTAGGAGAGCCTGCACACTACTAAATCAGTTTAATATTTAAAAATATATGATCCCCGGGGCACCTGGGTGGCTCAGTCGGTTAAGCATCTGCCTTTGGCTCAGGTCATGGTCCCAGGGTCCTGGGATGGAGCCCCACATCAATCGAGCCCACATGGGGCTCTGCTCAGTGGGGAGTCTGCTTCTCCCTCTCACTCTCCCCTCTGTGCTCTCAAATAAATAAAACCTTTAAATACATATATACATATGTATATATATGATCCCCTCCTCTTGTTAGTAAACTACTTCGTGCCCCAAGGAAATTTGCTCACATAGGTGTCCCCCAACTCACCTCCTATTAGGAAGTGGGATTTAGGTTTTTATCTAGGATCTATTTATTTTTCCACCTCTTCTGGCCTCCCCATTCCTCACTTCCTCAAGTTTGACTAAAGGTGGATCTTGAGTAACATGCTCTCTCTCCTCTCATTCATTTTTGCAGGAAGCTCTGCTTCCTTTCACCAAGGAAAGGGAGAGCACTAATGTAATGAGTGTGTATCCCTAGAGTGGCCGTAAGTCTGGGTGGGGCTTGCATGGGTTGGGGGAGGGGGAGAGAACAGCAGTTACTGTTGGAGTGACAAGAAATTTCTGTCTTGAGTCAAGCCATTCCCAATCACTCTAGACGTTGTCCAGCTTCTGGCATTGGCTGTCCGGCCAGAGCGGGAAATAGAACCACCTGGGTCTAGTCCTCCCTGAGACCTCGTGTGGCTGCTCTCTGGACCTCTCAGGTCAGGTGTAGCACAGCGTCAGCAGCTTTTTCTTGTTCTGGTCTTGTCCTCAAGTCAGGTCTTTTTGTTGTTGTTGTTCTTAAAATGATTAATTTTTTTAAATTTATTTTTTTTTATTCTTATGTTAATCCCCATACATCATTAGTTTTAGATGAAGTGTTCCATGATTCATTGTTTGTGCACAACACCCAGTGCTCCATGCAGAATGTGCCCTCCTCAATACCCACCACCAGGCTAACCCATCCTCCCACCCCCCTCCCCTCTAGAACCCTCAGTTTGTTTTTCAGAGTCCATCGTCTCTCATGGTTCGTCTACCCCTCTGATTTCCCTCGCTTCATTCTTCCCCTCCCGCTACCACCTTCTTCTTCTTCTTCTTTTTTTCTTAACATATATTGCATTATTTGTTTCAGAGGTACTGATCTGAGATTCAACAGTCTTGCACAATTCACAGCGCTTACCAGAGCACATACCCTCCCCAGTGTCTATCACCCAGTCACCCCATCCCTCCCCCCCCCACTCCAGCAACCCTCAGTTTGTTTCCTGCAATTAAGAATTCCCCATATCAGTGAGATCATATGATACATGTCTTTCTCTGATTGACTTATTTCGCTCAGCATAACACTCTCCAGTTCCATCCACGTGGTTGCAAATGGCAAGATCTCATTCCTTTTGATGGCTGCATAATATTCCATTGCATATATATACCACATCTTCTTTATCCATTCATCTGTCGATGGACATCGTGGCTCTTTCCATAGTTTGGCTATTGTGGACATTGCTGCTATAAACATCGGGGTGCACGTACCCCTTCGGATCCCTACTTTTGTATCTTTGGGGTAAATACCCAGTAGTGCAATTGCTGGGTTGTACGGTAGCTCTATTTTCAACTTTTTGAGGAACCTCCATACTGTTTTCCAGAGTGGCTGCACCAGCTTGCATTCCCACCAACAGTGTAGGACGGTTCCCCTTTCTCCGCATCCCCGCCAACATCTGTCGTTTCCTGTCAAGTCAGGTCTTTTGAAGGCAGTCTTTCCAACACTTCTAGAGTCTGACTGGTTTCATGGTGGAACTGGCCTCCTCTTTCTGACAGGAGGCTTTGGAAATCGCTTCCTCCTTCCCACCTTTGTTCCTTCCCTTGACTCTCCTGTTTCTGCCATTGCACACCACCTTTTCCACTTGGTTATGGCCTATGTTTCAAGACAACCCCGGCACAGGGGCTTACAATCAGCCAGAGAGACAGGTGTGCTGCACACAAAGGAGAAATGATCTTGCACAGGCCTTTTTTTTCTTTTTTTAAATACGACTTAGTTTTTATTTTTTATTTTTTAAGATTTTTATTTATTTATTTATTTGACAGAGGGAGACAGCGAAAGTGGGAACACAAGCAGGGGGAGTGGGAGAGGGAGAAGCGGGCTTCACGCCGAGTGGGGAGCCCGATGCGGGGCTCGAACCCAGGACCCTGGGATCATGACCTGAGCCGAAGGCAGACGCTTAACGACTGAGCCACGCAGGCGCCCCTAAAATACAACTTAATTTTTAAAAAAATACTGAGTGGCTGGGTGCCTGGGTGGCTCAGTTGGTTAAGCATCTGCCTTCAGCTCAGGAGATGTTCCCAGAGTCCTGGGATCGAGTCCCATTTTGGGCTCCTTGCTCAGCGGGAAGCCTGCTTCTCCCCCTGCTTGTGCGCTCTCTCTCTGTCAAATAAACAAAATCTTTAAAAAAAAAAATACTGATCCACATGATATATACACATCTACATAAAGCATTAAGATGCTTTCTAATAGCACACGCTTAAGATTTTTAAATTGACTGATTTCAGAACTTACCGGAAAATAAGATTGCTTTAATCAATTCTTTTTTTTTTTTTTAAGATTTTATTTATTTATTTGAGACAGAGAGAATGAGAGAGAGCACATGAGAGGGGGGAGGGTCAGAGGGAGAAGCAGACTCCCCGCCGAGCAGGGAGCCCGATGCGGGACTCGACCCCGGGACTCCAGGATCATGACCTGAGCCGAAGGCAGTCGCTTTAACCAACTGAGCCACCCAGGTGCTCCACTTTAATCAATTCTTATCTAGACCTCACATTGACCATAAAAATGGAGTCAAGTGATTTAAGTCCACCTCCAGAGCTCCCCGTGGACATACTTCTTGGTTCTGAGAAGGCAGGAATGCATGAGTTTCTTCAGTAACATTCATAGGCACAGGAAATGACTATTGACATAATCTTTAAGCCTAATAGTTAAGATTATTCTTCAGTTTATAATTTAAAAGCTTCTGACAGCTGAATGCTATGGTAAAATTTATAATGAAAGAGTTTGAGTGATTGAGGTATATTTCACTGAGTTGAAACTAAGACTTGTATAAACATAGGAAGGGAAGCCCTTCCCGGGCTTATGTAGTTAGGCAAGACTACTTAATGTCCCCCATTCCCAGCTGTGCTGTACTCAAAGTTTATAGGAAGCAAATCTATAGGATTTAAGGGGCATTTTTTCCCCAGTAAGACAGTCCTATGCCGCTACACCTATGTAACAGAAGTACGTATTAATTTCTTTGAGATATACAATTTTATATTTCCCTAGTGTTCCTTTTAAAAATTGGGAGTCTTAACTTTTGGATATTTTTTAAGTTACAAGAACAAAAACAAAACTAAAAAAATCAAGTGTACCATGGAGCAAGATAGCATTAGTATACTATTAGTTTTAAGTCATTTGGGAAACTGTAGATATCACATCCTCCAGCAAGGTTAAAAAAAAAAAAAAAGAATTTGGGGTGCCTGGGTGGCACAGTGGGTTAAGCGTCCGACTCTTGGTTTTGGCTCAGGTCATGATCTCAGGGTCCTGGGATCGAGCCCCATGTTGGGCTCCATGCTCAGCGGGAGTCTGCTTGGGACTTTCTCTCTCTACCTCTCCCTCTGCCCCTCCCACTTGTGCTCTCTTTCTCTGTCTCAAATAAATAAATAAACCTTTTTTTAAAAAACAGAATTTGTTACCAGATTAAAACAGAATATGCCAATGCTCAAAGAGTCCACGTTCATATCTTTTCAAATAAAATATATGATTGACATAACCTGCAATAACCTATGCCTGGTTAGGAAAGAGCATTTGGATTAAGCCATCCTCTCAAAGTAAGATATCTTTTTTTTTTTTTTTTAAAGATTTTATTTATTTATTTGAGAGAGAGAGAATGAGAGAGAGCACATGAGAGGGGGAAGGGTCAGAGGGAGAAGCAGACTCCCTGCCGAGCAGGGAGCCCGATGCGGGACTCGATCCAGGGACTCCAGGATCATGACCTGAGCCGAAGGCAGTCGCTCAACCAACTGAGCCACCCAGGCGCCCCTCAAAGTAAGATATCTAATATATAAATTTGGATCAGAAGCAGTCTGTTTGATTTATAATTTCTTTTCCCTGCCAGCTAAGAATACAATTTGTGTGGAGCTAATAAGCACCTTTTCTTATAATTACGCCAAGTACAATTCATGTGTTGATTTTTAAGGGAATCATGTAGGCCACTGGAGAAATGTTTTGTCTGTTTGGCTTATTTCCTCAGAATGACACTATGATACCCCAAGGCTTAAATAAAAAGATTAAATGATGTGCTGGAAAATATATATACAACTACCTCTCCCTCTCCTACTTTCGCTTTTCTTGATAATAACTGGTTAGTTGCTTTCAAGAATATAAAATGAGGACCTGTGAGAGAAAGAGAAATTATTGAATAATTTAACCTAAAAAGCAATTTCAACTCAAATAATGACTGCGTGTTTCAGTAAGGTCAATTAGCATTTATTTTCTTTTTGCAGTTTCTTCTAAGTTTAAATAAAGTCTCCATGAATAGATAAGAAAACCACTGTTTAGGATATCTATAACTGCAGATTGAAGTAGTTGGGCCAAATAAGCCTTATAAAAATGTAAAACCCATCTTTATTACCAGGTAACATGTGAATAGATTTCCCCACCCTTATTCTATATCCCAAACACCCTCTTCCATTGCAGGACTTTTATTTTCCACGTAATCCCTTTTATTATTAAGTTTTAATTTGTAAAACAGGTATATATATACTTTTAATGTAATTATTGATGCATAATCGACGTACAATCAACTGCACTGTATTTTTATAATCAGAAATGGAGTAATATTTTTAAAGTCTGTTGGAACTGGTTATGCTTCTAAAAAGGCACTTCCCTATCCTCTAAAATTTTTATTACAGAGGAATTTAAATGTATGTCATATTGCTGAGAGCTGAGTGAAATGACGGAAATTTAGGATTTCCCTTGCAGATTATAGGATAATGCTGTGATCCAAATATACCTCCCCTCCCCAGTCCTAATATATATTCCATTAAGGGGAGCATGGTGAAGAAGCTAATGCCAAATAGTTATCTATCTTCTAGAAAGATTTCAAATGTACCTTAAGTACCTAAAGTCTTTGTTAAATATGCCCAGAGACAGATGCAAGTTTAACAGACTAAATTAAGTTTCAAATTAATGCTTTATTTTAGTAATACCTTTATCTCGACCGTGCACCATTAATTAAAACAGGATGCTCCTTTGAACCTTTGGGTGAAAATATGCAATTTCTCCCTTGAGATTTTCCAATGCACCAAAAGCTGTTAACATATTTAGCAATTTAATGAAGTGTTATGAAAACCTAGGACATGGGGCACCTGGGTGGCTCAGTTGGTTAAGCAACTGCCTTCAGCTCAGGTCATGATCCCGGAGTCCCGGGATCGAGTCCCGCATCAGACTCCCTGCTCAGCGGGGAGTCTGCTTCTCCCTCTGATCCTCTGCCTCTCATGCTCTCTGTCTCCCATTCTCTCTCTCAGATAAATAAATAAAAAATCTTAAAAAAAAAAAAAAGAAAGAAAACCTAGGACAGAAATATACTTCTTTGGCATTAAAACATTTCTTTTCTGTAAGTGGACAAGAAGAAATCAAAAGTAATACTGCCAAAGGCAAAGCTTAACTATTTAACAGGATGATTTAAGAAAGTCTGGCAATTCAACAAAAGTCATAATTTTCCCCCAATTAAATGCTTTAACAACTGTAGCCAAATAGATCATTATTAGCAAGAAAACCATTTTTCTGAAACTCTTGCTATCAAATGTAGTATTTAGAGTTCAGTTTCAGGTAACTTCAAAGATCTTTGCTTTCATGCTTAAGATAAAGATTAGTCATAGCACTTTTTATGGAAAGAACTTATAATAGTGAATAGCTGAATTCATACCTCATTTTACATTTTATTCCTTTCCATGTTATATGAGTGGGTAAATATAGTCACAAATATTTAAATATACAAACATTTTTGCTACATATTAATATGTAGAAAATTTTTATTATATGCCTTTTCTTTTAAAGACATGCTTTGGTCACATTACTAGGAGTATTCACATTAAAATAATAAAAATTACAGGCTATCAGATATGAGCTGAAATATGGTCACGTTCAGCTGAATCAACTGAGTGATGGTTTTTGCCTTCAAATGGTCCTTTACCTCATTTCACTGGCAAAAGTTGGAAGAAAACCGCAGTGAGGAGAAAAATAAAATGATGGTTCAACAGCTATATTAATCGGTTCAACCAAGTCCATTAATATACTTTCCTATTTGCTAATCTTGGATCAAATTCAGCTTCTTTAACACTCGGTTATTGAGAAATAAATGAACTTTACAGTTGGAAAGAGGAATAGTAAAGATGAGGAGAAAGAGAAGAAAGGGAGTTAAAGACATGACAAGAGACCTGTTTTGGGATTCAGTGCGGTCCCTGACAGACATTTCTCCTTCATGGCTCTGACCCCCAAGCTCCTGTTGAAACCGGAAACGGGCACAATCAGGTAGAACAGCTGCTCCCTGGGCCCCTGGTGTGCAGTGTGGGGGGAGAGGCCCACAGCAGAGGACCTTCCCAATCGTAGGTTCACGCTGGGGCAGATTCAGGGCGATATGCTCTGGCCTGATTGAGCTCAGGGTAGTCACTGTGTGTCCTCAGACCCCCTCAAGGTGCAGATCAGTGCCAGAATTCCCAAATCAGACAGGTTTTCTCTCCTATTTCATAATGGCCACGTAGGTAGATTGTGAACAGCAACTGACAAAGGGGAGAAGGAGCTTAGGCAAAGCTGAGACTGGGAGGGGTTGACTCTCTGTAAGGTGGCTAACTGTACCAGCTCATCTAGTCCAGGACCTGAAAGAGGATGGAGCGGATATGGAGGGACCAGGGAGGAGGGAGAGGAACCCTGCTGCCCAGTGACACTCGTCTGCTATTTACACTGGGCTACAGGGATTCCCAAAGCCTTCCACAATTTGGAAACATAATAAGATATTTCATAGTCATCTAGGAAGGTGGCCAAGCCCTGTCCAATACAGCAAACTCATCTAATACTCCAAACAGGTTTTCTAAGAGGGAAAAATAACTAGTTGTAGAAGTTACTGCAACTTCCTAATACCTCAACAAACTTTTCACACATCTTTAGCGAAAACTGAATAAATGATCTCACACCTTCCAATTGAAATGGCTTCTCAGACCAACTTAAGCATAAACTGGTTTTCACAAAAATGGAATATTGGTGCCTTATTTTTTTTAAACTATCAAGATTATTGATAGATATCAGCTTTTCAGGGTGTAATAGATACCCTACAGAAAATGTGTGCATTCTTTGGATATATACAAAATTCTTTGATTTGGGTACTTTTCTTTTTTCCAATAGTTTTTCTTGCACTATACAGTAGTGAATATCTCTCACAACAGATAGATAAGCTGTGTATTTTATACAAGACTGATGACTTCATTCCACATTTATTTAGATTAGACAGATAAATCTGAACTTCCCGCTATGGATTCACATGCAAACTTTCAGGAATGATGTTTGTTATGTCTGATGTAATAAATACAGACTGACTTCCTACTATTTAAAAACAATGGACGCCACTTTCCACCAGCGCCCATCAGGGAGAAGCCTAAGGCTGTGAGTCTGTTGTGGCACTGCCATGATTTGCTTTTTCTCCTGACACAGAATGCTTCAGAAACTGACCAGTAGCACCGATGTATAATCTTGATCGCATGGGCCATTTCTGAAAAAGAATATTTAAACAAGAATCCAAAAATTAGTATCTGTGACAGATAGGTCTGTATTAGTAATATTAAAAATTCCAAATGCCTCAAAGCAAATGCAATATCATGAAGCTAGTAACAATTATAATAGTGAGGTTGAAGGAACAACATAAAACAATGTTTATTAATGCTAGCAATAAAAGTAAAAATATACCAAGACTTTGATTATAACTGTATAAAATAATATGGGTGCATGTGGACAAGAACCTTAAGAAATCATGGAGACTGAATATAGGTAAGCAAAGGAAAATATATCTATTAACAGTGTTTTAATTTAAAACTAAATCTAAAACAAAATATTTAAAGATATTTTAAAAAGTTATACATGGTAAATATTATATGTTCCCACTTGTCACAGAAGTACAGTGAGAAGTGACTAACTCAACTGTTTACACTTTATCTACGGGGCGCCTGGTGGCTCAGTTGGTTAAGCGTCCCAACTCTTGGTTTTCACTCAGGTCATGATCTCAGGGTCCCAGGAATGAGCCTCGCGTTGGGCTCCGCGCTCAGCACAGAGTCTTCTTGTCCCTCTCCCTCTGCCCCTCCCCCTGTGTTCTGTCTATCAAATAAATAAATAAAAATCTTAAAAAAATATTTTATCTAGCTAAAAGCAATATCTTGAAGCTGCAAATGTTATAATGTTTGGTGTTATGTGGATAAAACATCCAGAATAAATGTCTGGATGTAGCAGCATCATACAGCATTAACCTTTCAGTAATTATTGCATTTGTATTCTGATTGTGAATTTTCTTTTTAAAGATCTTATTTATTTATTTTCAATTTTTTTTAAAGATTTTATTTGACAGAGACACAGCGAGAGAGGGAACACAAGCAGGGGGAGTGGGAGAGGGAGAAGCAGGCTTCCCACTGAACAGGGAGCCTGATGCGGGGCTTGATCCTAGGACCCTGGGATCATGACCTGAGTGGAAGGCAGACGCTTAACGACTGAGCCCCCCAGGCACCCCTGATTGTGAATTTTCTAAATTCACCTTAAAAGTGGACAACCTCTCAAAAATAATATAACTTATTGCCAAATAGACATGATGATAAAGAAACATATTACATAAGTAGTACTTTTTCAGAAATTTTTCTTGGGGAGGGGTGTCTGATAATACGTTAGTTCTAAGGTCCTTGTCAGAGAAATACTACTTTTATACAAAGAGAAGTCTTTAGACTAATAAAGTGCAACTCCCAAAGGTCAGCAATGGGATCCCACACTCTTGGGAGAGTAAATGCTGCAGTGAGTAGCAGGCTATTTTTATCACTGAACATTCACAGGCTCACTGCTGGTTACACAGCACCATGAAATGTTCTTAAATGCCTGACAAATAATCTGCAGTGCTCAAATAGAGATACAATTATTAACAAGGTAAAAGACCCTAAGAACTTCAGATTCTTAACCCAAGCTCCATATTAAAATCACATGGAGAGCTTTAAAAAATACCGATGGCCAAGTCACACACCACACCAATTAAATCGGAATGGACCTCTTTTTGCAGAAGTTGAGTATAAGGTAGAGTCAGATTGTACTTTTGAGTGCAGTACTATCACCTAAACTGGCATTCCAGATGTAAAATGTAGCTATAAGGGATAGTTAAGTAGGCATGTGATACCATCCAGGAAGCCTCTGTTCTTTGCAACCAACAAGAGTCCTAGTTTTATGCCTCCAGATATAATAAGTGTTTGCTCTCATGCAGTTCAGGTCCATTTTAGGGTCCTAAATTCAGATTATTCTGGCTGGAAATCTATACTTTAAACACAGATAAAATATAAAATTTGTGTTACTTAGAATTTAAAATGATCTCCTCCTGTATAATCTTCCTATAAATAACCTTGTACTTTATATTTGATACAGTAATAACACTGTGCTACTTATTTTTGCATCCATTTCAGGGTTTTTTTTTTAAATCACAGATGTGCATTCTTACACATTCTGGGTGTATCTCTGGTCCTGTCCTTGGGTTCTTGCCATAGGTTGATAACCCCAGTTTTGGAAACTGGTATGGGGTTTTTCTGATATGTCAGGAGCTGACATTGTTAGATCAGATTCCAGTCCTGCATTATACTGAAGAACCTTGTGCCATAATGCTATGGACTGAATGTTTGTATCATATGTTGATGCTCTAGCTCCCAACGTGATGGTATTTGTGGAGGTAATTCAAGCTAAATGAGGTTAAAAGGGTGGGTCCCTCATGATGGATTAGTGTTTGTTTTTTTTTTTTTTAAGATTTTACTTATTTATTTGAGAGAGAGACTGAGAGAGAGAGTTGGGGAAGGATTAGAGGGAGAAGCAGACTCCCTGCAGAGTAGGGAGCCCTTACTGATGTGGACGTGGTACTCTGAGGATCCTGGGATCATGACCTGAGTGGAAGGCAGACACTTAACTGACTGAGCCACCAAGGAGCCCAGGTTAGTGGTCTTTTAAGAAGAGAAAGCCTGCTTCTCCCTCTCCTACTCCCCCTGCTTGTGTTCCTGCTGTTGCTATCTCTCTGTCAAATAAATAAATAAAATCTTAAAAAAAAAAAAAAGAGAGAAAGCTTTTTTTCCTGAGAAAGAAGTAAGTTGGCCAACCATAAGATAGGGAGAGAGCTCTCACCAGGAATTCAAATGGCCTGTACTTTGATCCTAGACTTTCCAGACTCCAGAATTGTAAGAGAATAAATTTCTGTTTTTTTAAGCCTTCCCGTCTATGGTATTTTGTTATTGCAGCCCAAGCTAACTAATATTTGTAGTTAATAGTGTAGGGCTAAAATAATCAATTTCAAGTGTAGAATTTTTGGCATATTATAAACCTGTGCTTCTCAATCTTTTAAATTCCTGCCTCGTATTCATGAGCATAAAAATCTCATACTTAAACTTTGGATGTAATTTGAATATTCCATATGAATTAAATATATTTAAAAGCAAATAAAATAAACATTCTACTGAATGCTCCCTGGTATTTCTGATATGTGCTACTTGGGTCCTGCTGTATTGAGAATCACTCTAAATCATGCAACCAAATGTGGAGACAAATGAAGGCATCTGTTCCTTGATGGGACATAAGTAATTAATGAAGCAAACTTAAAAATGTATATGTGGATTTTTGGGATGCCTAGCTGGCTCAGTGGGAGGAGTGTGTGACTCCTGATCTCAGGGTCATGAGTTTGAGCCCCACATTGGCTGTAGAGATTACTAAAAAATAAAATAAACTTAAAAAAATGTGTATGTGAATTTTTGCCTCATTTTTCACAAACTTAATGATAAAACTTTAAGAACTGTGAACTTCGATTTTCCAAAAGGCTTCTAATGATTTTATTCAACTGAATTTAATGTATATATGTAGTTTTAAGAGTCAGAAATAAAATGTAAATGAAATATTGGTTAGGCTGCATGTTAGTATTATGCCACAAAAGCTAGTTTGACTGTTTTACATTTCACCTTTCAATGGAATGTTTTAACATTGTGTAGATTAACACAATCTTGACCTCTGTTTTACCTAATAAAGTTTATTTAAAACCATAATGTTTCATGAGGCTTAGAACAATCTAGCAAGGTCATAGGATTAACCGAACTGAACCTGAAAACCTTAAAAATGCACTCTTGGATTCTGGAGTTAAATGACCCCAAAATAATAAAACTTTGTATTTTATTTTTAAGATTATTGTATATGTATATTATCAAAAGTGATTCTCCAGGGATAATGCAATTAATAAAGTCATCTGTGCTTTTCTCCAATATAAGAATCTGAAATATATCCCTGTTCTCTTGAAGGATCACTGCCCTTTGGTACATTGGTGCTAATCAAATTGCTCACATCCCAAAGGGATGAAAACTGCTGTTTTAGGTTATGCCCCAGGATCCCAATCACTTTAACCTTCCAGTTTCATTTGAGATACTCTTAATGTAAATTCCCAAGAATGTTAAATCTCAATACAGAAAATAAGGACTGATGACTCAAAATCATGGCCTTGAAATATTTGTTAACAGATCTTTAATCATCAAAGACATAGTAATACTATGTTGTAAGGCAGGAAAAAAAAGTCATCTTGGAACACTTTTTAACTATGGGTTACAACACCCTTAGTTAACTAAAAATTAGTATGATCAGAATATTTTTATTTCTTTTGCATTAGATTTATCAAAGATAGACTTAATACTTAAGCATTTGGTAATATCCGTAAAATAATGTGTTACAGGTGGTTTCAATTACGCGTATGAAATCTCTTTCCTCTAAACCTCCAAAAGCACATGGTTATAGCTCTCTTATGTACACAGAACATTATCCCTTACAGTACATTATTTTATTTTTGTATTTGTCTCTATTATATATTAATTTAGGGCAGGGATTGAGTCTTACTCTTAATTGTATCCACTCTCCTAACAGTGCTTTGCACACAGCAGACACTCAGTAAATGATTTTAAAACAGACTAGTCACTTGTTCAACCATCAATTTCATTTTAAAGAGGTAATCTTTGGCCTTGTTTCATTATCCCTAGAATTGTCTTTTAAAATCAAAACAACTGATTTGAGGACAAATGAGATTTAATTTTTCTTAAAGTTGTTATTAGACTACAAAAACATTTGGTGCCTGAATCAAGTACAAAAAACAAAAAACTCCTGTTAAGCTTATTTTTACATGAAAATTATTAACAGTATTTATTCAAAAAGATACTATAAGAAACAAAGGTGAAAACAATTTGATTTCTTATCTCAATCGTATCTCCTACAGAGGTATTTGACAGATGCTTTCTGTATTAAAGTCTACTTAATCTTAAACTTTTTTAGAGTATATGAGAAATGTCAAGTCAAAAGAAATCTAATGTTAATGATATATTTGAATATCAATCTAATGCAGACTGTAGAGCAAAACCCCTAATTAATAATGAATGACTTTTCAGCAGAGATAATATTATATAGCACAAAGATATAATGAGATCTATCATAATTATAAACAAATGATAGTCCAAATTTCTATATTCAAAATAGCTTGCAGCTATCATCATGTTGATTATATTTGCAAAGTAAACTGTTAAACCTCACCACAGAATTTTAGTTTCAGTTAATATTAGAGTGTACTTTACTACATTTCAATGATGGTTATTCAATAATTTATTGAACACTAATATGCTTAAGGCTAAGTCCTGATTTTGTATTTATATGTGTGGCAAAATATTTCAGAATGGTAGAGCCAAAAATTTGAAAATTTAGGTTTAGAAAATACAGGGAAAATAATGCATTTTGAACAGAAAGCCAGATAAATGCTGGATTTTGAAACAATCAAATCCAGGCAAGAAGGACAATGCAGAGTGTAAACACTGCAATATAGGTAATAAATCATAACCGTATACACCATGCTAAATGAAAACCCTGACCATTTTACCTACATGTAATGTTATAAATTCTACAAAACGGATTCTAGGGGCTAATTTTGCACATTACAGAATTTTAATATAGTATGGAATCGGCTTGATTAACATGCCCCAGTCTATTGTGAAAATTACATAAATACATCATAGTTTTTCTAACATTCTAGGTAACTGCCTAATCCATGATAATTAACCTTTATTAAAACGGACTGAAAATTTACTCCGCAGAATGGCAGAACCGTCTCACTTTGTTCTTAACCAGTTTTACAAAAAAATTTCAACATGGTTTCCTGGATTATTTAAGAGGCGATAATTCCATCACCCCCTTTAATTCGTGAAACTTTTCAACCATCTGATAAAAACCACGATGGAAATGTAATTATGTAAATTTAAAACTCTCAAAGGCTCATAAATGTAAATCTGATACTAAAAATCACTAGAACTTGCCAAAAACCCCAACAGGCACTCCCAAGAAACCTCTCACCTAGGAAAGGCATCATGTAGGCTGCATCCTGTAAGTGGAGTAGGACACCCCTACGACCCAAGCCACTTCGGGTTTAAATCCACTACCTGGGAGCAGTTACGGAGTAGCCTTTTGCAGTGGGGACCTCGCTACCGGTGCCCTTGCGGGCCAAGGTCGCTCTCCGGATCCGTTCCCCGTCTCACCCCGAGGGAGGAGTGAGAGCTCCGCGGCATCTGCTCAGGCGGTGGCCGGCCCGGAGGGTTAAGGTGCCCAGCTCCCCGGCCCAGCTCCGCAGGCCGCCCTGCCTGCCTACCTTGACAGGGTGTAGGTAGCCGTCGCCGCGCAGGGCGCCCAGCCCAGCGTCCGCCGGCGCCTCGGCGTCGTCTTGCAGGCTGCGGGTGAGGTGAGCAATGTAGGTGGTGGCCAGCAGCAGCACGTCCAGCTTGGACAGCTTGGTGTCCGGCGGCACCGACGGCAGCGTGCGCTGCAGCTCCAGGAAGGCGTGCCGCAGAGTCTGCACGCGGCTTCGCTCCCGCGCAGCGTTCGCTGCAGCCGGCCTCCCGCCCCCCGGGCGCGCACTGCCGCCCGGGCCCGCGGGTCCTGGCCCGGCCCTGCCGGGGCTCGAGTCGCGGGTGGCGGCAACCGGGGGCGCGGTCTCGTTGCTAGCGATCAGGGGGCTGCCTGCGGGGCCGTCGCGGTCCATGGCGGCTTCCCGCGCTGCGTGCCCTGCAAAGGACCCGAGGCGCGGTGAGACCCGGCGCCGGTCGGGCTTAACCCGGGGAACCGCAGGCCTCTCGCTTCAACTGCATGCCGGGCCGGGCCATCGACGTGGCTCGGGGCGTTCTCAGAGATGAGGTCGTTTTGCCTGGGGCGTGTTTACCTCCCCCCGTCTTGGGAGAGTTGTGGGGCCTGACAGTTCCTGGGCTTAGAAGGCTCAGGAGGGTCACTGTGCCGGCTTTACTTTTCAGGGACAAATTAAGTGAAAGGGCTATGCTACCGAGGAAGGAAGATCTTGGAAGCGGAGCTCCGGTTCGGAACTTGTTTGCACTTCTGGAACTTTATGCGCCAGCCCCGCGGGAGAGATGGGCAGGTCATTCTCGCGGGCGCAGCGGGAAGCCCTGGCCTCGCCAGGGTCCTCATTGCTCACGCGGGCAGCCCTCGCATCATTCGTTCCCGAGGTCAGGGTTCCCGGGGGTGACGGCGGGAGCTCATTCTAATTTCTGCGGGAGGAGAGGGGACCCCTGACCTCACCTTGGACCTAGGCACCCGCTATCCTAACGAACCTGGGGACCAAGCGACGCGTCTGGGGTTGGACCGAGGTTCTCACCTTTCCTGGAGCGGCCGTGCAGGGCTCCGCTCCGCTGCAATAGCGGACCAGGAGCGTGGAGCTTGGTCTGAGTGGCCAGGGCCGCACAGGTCACTCCATCCTCGTCCAGCCGAAGTCGACAGCCGCTTCTAGACCCTGCTGGGCGCGCGTTTTATGCGGTCGCCCCCGTGGCCAGGCGTGTGTGGGCCAGACTCAATGTAGGGCTGGGACAGCGGGACCCGCCGAGGTCCGCACCCACCTGAGGGGCTCTGCCCGGGGCTGAGAGTCATTAATCAAATGGCCCGGCGGGGCGGGGCCACAGGGGGCGGGGCGTCGTTATGGCCCCGCCCTCCGCCCCGTCCGGGTTCGCCCCGAGGCGTGACTACAGGCGCAGCACGTCGAGCGTCGGCTGTGTTGAAGGCCCGCTGGGCGGCCTCGCGAGTTCCCTCGCCTCGCCGCCGGCTTTCCGTCACGGGTCCGGCCTGAGCGCGAGCGCCTCCCAGGCAGGCGCCGGGCTGAGGCGGGAACCCTGCCGTTTTGCCGAGCGTGACTTTTTTCTGAGGAAATGTGGAGTGTGTCGCTGCGATGCGCTAACCTATTATTCTACCACCAAGGTAAATGTTTCATGCTGCCCTAATTGAAGCAGTAGTCCCTCCACCTCGGTACTCCGTGACCAGTTTATAGCCGCTCGGAGATAGTGCGCCTACGGGGATATTTGGAAGTTCCCAAACCGGAGTGAACGGCCCTGGGATCGCGGTCGCTTCTTCCCCGGGGGCGCGGACCGTTGCGGGTCGCCTCCGTCGCACACGCGGGGCCCCGCTTTGTTCGTTTTTTGGCCCTAAAATTCGTCCTGGCTCCGCCCCCCCGCCGGGAACTCGCCTGAGAGGTCTTGCACTTGGCGGCCCATGGGAAACGTGGCCTGCAAGCTGTCCGGTGAGGGGCTCTCTCCGAGGCTCTTTGAGAGCTGATGCTGGCTCGGCGCCGCTTGGCCTATTCAGATACCGACCGGGAAGCGCTGGGCCCGGGACGCCCCCAACCCTGTGGCTCCCGCGGGTCCTGGGCCCAGGGCCTTCAGAGGTGAAGTCTCAGTGGACGCACGATAGTTTCTAGAACGCAGTTAGTATGTCCTTGAAATAATGCCCTCAGTTCGAAGATCAGGACAGTTAAAAATCTTCGGAGTCAAGACAATATTAAATTTAAAATATCATTGATGAAATTGCTCTTATATATGAGACGTAATTTCTGTACAATAGATTTTTAAATTGGAACTATTAAGTAGTACGTAGTAATGGTGAAAACTTGCATTTTAATATATCATTCTACACTTCAGGTATATAAGTGAATCAGAATAATAATAATCTTCAGTTCCCGTTCAATAACTGTAATTAGATTTACACTTTAAAAAAGATGGACCAAAATACCATTGGCTCAAAAAGGATTACTTTCTTTTGATGAATGAGGAAGCACATCTTTATTTTCTCAGTAAATTGTATGTAATGAGGCAAAAGCAATTGAAAAGCAATGTTTCAGATGCCATAAAGAAGCAAATCAAACCACTTAAAGGTTTTTCTTATATAGTGAGATACCCTAGAGCTACAAACTACAAAAGATGATATTGCCTGGTAGTATAAAGGTAAAAGAACATACGTTTCAGATCACTTAAGGCTGAGTTTATTCATCTTTTTTTTACAAACAAATTTACTTTTACTTTTGTTTGGAGAAGGTGAAGTTCAAGTATATCACTTTTGTCAGCAAGCTTTCAGATTCCTTCAAAGAGGGATACCTGTATTAATAGAGAAAAAAACAGGAATATTTCAAAAATGAAAGTTACCCAAAATGGGAACAAAATACAGACTCTAGGATACACCAGTAGTAGAGGTTAATGATTAGTCACCAAACTGTGTGAATCTTTTAAAGGAAGCAGAAAGATTCCTTCCCCCACCCCCCACCCCCAGAGTAGAGAAGAAGGTGGAAAATCTATGTGTTGGGAGAAGTGTGGAAATAAGAATTTTGGAGGGAAGGTTGGCTGGGCTAGGGTGAGGCAAATGCCTAGAGCTCCTTAACTTTTGCACCCTTGGCATCTCACATGCCTCACCCTAGCCTAGCCTGCTAAAGCCTCCTGTTAAGCGGAGGAGGTGGGTGGAGGTGGGGGCACCAGGGAAGCTCTTCACTGATAACAGAGGCTGGAAAGTGGACATCTATATTGCCCGGTAGTCAGGTTCAAAAGAAAAGATTGGTGAAACAATACCAACCACTTTGGGCCACCTCATCTTACCTGCTGCCACTCTGAGCAGCCTCTCCGAATCCTTTCATGATTCTAGAGTAGTCCTATTCCCGCAAGAAGCCATTATTTGCCATTAAGTTAAAAATAGAAGATGAAAATCTTCAAATTTTCACCCTTACATACATTGGTAACAGGTACCTTATTTAACTATATGTGCAAAGTGCTTTACAAAAAAACACTTTATTTTCTCATTTAGTCTACAAAAACCCTTTGAGGATTTTACATTTTATGGTTGAGAAAATAAGACTCAGTGGGAGAGACAGGGTTCGAGCCAGGCTGACTGACCTGTAAATGGCAGTGGCAGAGACAGGGTTCGAGCCAGGCTGACTGACCCTAATTCCTTGTGCTTTTTACCATACCTACTCTATTTAATATTTGTAGAGTTCTTCATAATTTGCAAAACATTTTTTGTATCTGTTACTGCAATAAGGGGCATATTTTAACTTGACTCCCTATTAACAATTCAAACACTCTTTTCATAATAGTACAGTATATTTTTTGGAGTTCTTGTCTAGTCTTCCAGAAAGTAGATGGCTTTAGAGTGCAATAGATTTTATTTTGTGGAGTATGGTGTAGATCTTAAAATTATGTGTCTTTCTCTAAATATATCAATTTGTCCTTAACTTACTATCTTTATTATGTAAAATAATCACACATATCAGTGAAGAAAGTATATTGCTGTTTTATATATATATGTGTGTGTGTGTGTGTGTGTACATAATAAAACTTAGGTTTTATATAATTGGTGCTTTTTTTTCATCTTTCAACTCTTTCCCTTATTGTTTAGTTAAGGTATAATGTACATAGTTAAATTCATTCTTTTGAGTATATAGTTCAGCAAGTTTTGATAAAAACTACCACAGTAAAGATACACATTTCATCATCCCACCCTTCCATTCCGTTGTGACTTTGTGCATTCTACTCCTAGGCCTTGGCAACTTACTGATCTGTTTTCTGTCTCTATAGTTTGAGCTTTGCCAGAACTTCATAGAATCCTACAATGTATACATACCCTTTTAAGTTGGCTTCTTTAGCCTAGCATAATACTTTGAGATCTGTCCATGTTGTTTTGTGTATCAGTAGTTCATTCCTTTTTAATGCTGAGTAGTATTCCATTACATGGATATACCACAGTTTGTTTATCCATTCCCCAGTGTCAGGTCTTTGGGTCGTTTTGTTTTGGGTGGTTATGAATAAGCCACTATACACGTTTGGGTATAGATTTTTGTGTGCATATAGGTTTTCATTTCACTTGGAAAAATACCTTGGACTAACAGTGGGACTGTTAGATGTGGTAAGTACATGTTTAACTTTATAAAAGTATGTCAGACTGTTTTCCAAAGTGGCTGTACTATTTTTGCATTCCCATCAGCAATGCACAAGATTTCCAGTTGTTCCTTATCTTTGCTAGCATTACCAGATTTTTTCTTTTTATCCATTTTAATATATATTTTTTAAGAAAAATTGAGCCAATATTTTAAAATCCATTGATTTCTTAATCTAGATATCTTGCTTGTCAGTTAGTCTGATTTCTCAAGTTTAAGAACTTGAGAAAGTTCTGCCTGACTATAATGTTTTGGAGTGGAGTAGCTGCAGATGCCCTTAGGTGGGTGGACATGTGCTCTTCAGTTCACCTCAATCACATTCTCCCTTCTTCCCTCACATATTTTACCTGCCTATACCAGAGGGCGTTTTTGAGACCCCTTGCAGATTAGTTGAGAGCTTGGCTTTTAGAGTCAGTGACCCGAATTCAAGTTCCAGCTCTGCCTCATGGCCGTTGTGTGACTTTGGGCCCCTCTCTGACTGGGCCTCTCCAATGCTCATTTCCCCCGGCTATAAAATGGGTCTGATCATATTCTTATCTTAGAGGGTTCTGCTGTTCTTAAAAATTAAGGTAGTGAATATTCAGGTATCAAAGTAGACATTTTAAAATGGGGTAAATAACATAATTCTTAAAAATTAGATCTTGCATAACTCTTGTTCACAGAGTAAGCCATTGACAGAATTGAGACTAGAAGTCACAAAACCTAGCTTAGATTGTTCTTAAAAAACCCTTTGTTGCTTACCACTATTGCTTTTTTTAAAGGAGGGTGTCCTAATTTCAGAAGGGTTCCTTGACAACTAACTGCAAATCAAAGTCTTAATATTATACCTCCATTACTGATACGTAGAAGTTTATTTTGCATATAAAATGAATTAGACTGAGGTTAGGTTTAACACAGCATAATTAAAGGCATTTAGAGCTTTGCAGATGAGTTTATATAAGATCATCCCAGAGTTTTGTAACTAAAAATATTACCTAAGTTTTAAAAACTCTTGAGGCACATAGAAGATATGTTGTTACAACTGTTCAAACATAACCTTAGCAGTGGTGAAAGCAAGTTATTTTTACTGTTTTTAAAGTTCACTTTTTAACTCAAAGAAACCTAATACTTCCATATTCTAACTAAAGATAGTAGGTATTTTATAATGTACAGTGAACATTTCCCAGTGAATTATGGGTCCCAGAGATTCACATTCCTTAAAAGTATCTGAAACTAAGGCATTCGAACCCAGCTACACAGTTATTTTTATAGTAACAAAAGAGATGGATTGACTTTATGGACAGGGCTTAGGCTTGAAAGATAAATAATCAAGTAACAATTTGCTTTCTTCAGTGTACAGTGCTCTACAGTATTCTCAGTGGATCTTATTTACAATATGTAAATGCATTTAATGTCTATTTTAAAATTACTAAGTCTCAAGCACCTCCTAGCATGTTTGAAAAGAGAGGAAACATCTGTCAGAAGTATTTACTGTGACAAACACAGAAAGAAGCAATCATGTGTACACTTTTTAATAACATAAATTATTTTTAATTGAACAGTGAAGGCATTTGTTTAGAATCAGCCGTTAAATAAAAAATAGCTTTGAACTAATCTTTAATTAAAGTGTACATCGATAGTATCAAGTTCAGTTTGAGGGTCAAAAACAACGTCAATGAGTCTGACTTTTTCCTCCCTGT